ATAGAGATAGAGATAGAGATAGAGATAGAGATAGAGATAGAGATAGATAGAGAGAGAGAGAGAGAGAGAGAGAGAGAGAGAGAGAGAGAGAGAGATGCTAATGACAGGAGCAAGGTACCAGGGATAGCTATGGTTACACAAACAGAAGAATATCTGCAGCTTATTAAATAACTGGCATGCTTTTTGTAAAAAAAAGTTTTGTCTGTGCTTCTAGAACAGAACCACAGCTGTGCAGGAAACCATTGTTCATGTTGCTCACATTTTCCTCAGTTCTGTAGCTTCTAAGGTGAGCTTTGATACTCTGAATGCCTAGTGTGAAGAGCTTGGTAATTATATCCATAGGTACACAGTAACAACTTGCATGTTTCATTAATTATTGTTCAGTAGAAAAGAACATACCACTTAACAAGCCTCCACTTCCTGCTATTAACTATAGTTCATGTGGGACTGATATAGAAAAAAAATCACATTTTGTGTCACAGAGAAGAGAGGGGTAAATAAATATTTTAAGTCAGTTTTTTCCTCAAAGAACAATCACTTAAAATTACCCATTTTGTTAGTCCCAAGATAATAACACGTAAGAGTCTTTTAAATTCCATAGGCACAGTAGGTAGAGATCATTTTAATTGACTTTTATTATTGTAGCCTGGGGTATTTTCAAAAGATTATCATTTACTCTGTGCAACTATACAGGATGTATCGCTATAGTGATCTGTAAAGTGGAAGTAATGTGACTCATTGTTTCTGGCCCTGGGTGGTCAACCCTCTCAGTAAGATGACTCACTCTGCCATTTAAAAAAAAAAAAAAAGATCCTTTATAGATATCTGGAAAAATGGCAATGAAATTTACATTTTTGAGAGTCCTCTCCTACTCTGGGATCTGGAGGTAGGTAGTTTCCTGTTAAGTAATGAGGGCATTTGAAAAGATTTTAATAGTTCTTGTCACCATTATATGGCTGTGCCCAGTTAGATAAGAATCATAACCAGAAGCAACAAGATGACTCAATGAGTAAAGGAGCCTGCTGCGGTGCCTAACAACCTAACTGAAGCCCCAGAACCCACGTGATAGAAAAAGAGAACACCTCCCTCAAATTGACATTTGACCTACACTGACACAGACACACACACACAAAGACACACACACGAAAACACACACACTCAATCATATACATACTCACATACACACACACATATACACTCACACATCACTCACTCACACACATACACACACACACCAAGGCATGCACACATACACACAAATAAATAAATGTAATCAGAAAAGAATCACAATCATCTATTTAAAAAAACTAAGAAAATTCAATAGTTTAGAAAAGTTACTTTTGGTAACCAGCTTTCGCAATATGCTAGTTTCCACTCAACTATTTAACAAAAACACAGGGCTTGACTACCGAATCACAACTGTTCTCTAATTTAGCATTGGCCTCTTGGTGCCTGTATAAGACACAGTCTAAGTGACTACTGAGACCTGTATCAGTTTGTTGACTTCACTAAAACAGGGAACCCACCCTAGAGACCTTTCAAGTTGGACTTTCAGAAAGAGTTTGTCATGGAGAGGGCTAGATGAGGCAAACTATCTATGCTTCATTCATAGGACAGTAACAAAGGCCACAGGGAAGGGACTGAGAGGCAAACCAACCTGGAGTTTACGTGCAGTGACTGGAATAGTCTATTACTACATCTCTCCCAGTCACACCCCGTTCCTTCCCAACTATCCACATGCTCTCCAAGAACAAGGAGCTTAGAAGCTGGCATAGCTTTCATTGGCTCTTATGATCTGCCTTGGTGATATTTCAGTCCTTCAGGCCATGCACCTAATCACCACACACAACTTCTTACCTCTGGGAAGAGCAAACCTGCTAATAAAGAAGAGGTTTGGCCTGACAAATCACTTTGACTCACCATTTTGAGATACCACTGGCAACTACCAAGAAAATAAGGAGTATTCTACCACTTCATCTCTCCTAACATTTCCAACTGCAAAATAAAAAAAAAAAAAGTCTAGAGTCCATTTCTGGTTAGCTATGGAATCTGCAGTGGGGACTCGGGAAATAGAGTCAGATCGGTGCCTGGCTCCAAAGTAAATTATTTCCTACAGGTACCAAAAAGTATGTATTCATCCCATTAGATAATTCTTTTAGTAAAGTGACTTATATAGATTATTCTAAATGTCACTTAGAGATGCTTTAATAAAATCTACTCCATAAGTAGCAGGTTCTCTTTGGAAGATAACAACATGAAATAAAGCTTTTAAGTCACCTGCCACAGTCAGAAAGTCTCACCAAAGGTCTCTTACGAGTTGAAATGCTGCAGGTGAACCATGTGTCTGTGTCTTCATACCATTCTAGACAGCCACCGCCAGTCACACTGTTGAGGCATGCTTCTAATCTCTCTCAGATGTCATATCCGTGACACGATGGTTCTGTCTGGAGCTGCTGGTTCCACACCACAGCCATTTAACCTGACAGCCCTGGTTTGGCCTTATCATCCAGTGTCAAAATGCATCAAGTTTCAAACAGAGCTCCTCTGCCTTGGAATTCCTGATACTGCAGGACAATGGGATAGCATTGTCCACCTTTTTCATTTTCAGTTTCCTCTTGGGAACCAAAGCTCCTTCCACCCTTTCTCTTCCTGGGTCCAGTATGCAGGGTGATGGAGATGTGAGCAGATACATGTTTCAGGAAAGATGTGGAGAGGGAGTCCAGAGCAGCTAGGGCTTCCTTTTCATTTCACTGGACTTGAAGTCACAAGATTAGAATTTGGGTTCACACCCCCAAGTTCAGACTCTATCTCTGCATTCTCAATGGAAAGACACTTGCAGATTCCTAACCACATTGATTCTCAGGCTCCCATTTATGAGATGGAAATAGTAGACTTGAACACAAACGTTATCACTGAAGACCGAACACTTGGCACACTGCTAGCTTCTGGCGAGCACCTGGCCAGTGTCGGTGTACACACTGGCTATAGATGCTGACTCCATAGTAGCGATTATCATAGCACTGCTATTATTTGGGGACATCTGACTATAAGTTTACATTTTAAATTTATTACACCATTTACTTAACAGTCTTTGTTTCCTGAAAAAGAACGTTTTCTCGATGCTTGGTATTTTCAGAAGTGTCACACTTGGCAGACTCTTTTCCTCTCACACCGTGGAACTCTGGGACACTGCTACACTGCTTTATTCTGTATGTGATTATTTTTTGGCATTGCCTGGTTTTTGCAGGTTCTTGACTTTCTTTTTCATCACGTCTACTAATTCAAATTCAGGGTCCTCATAGAAGATCTTCAGAAGGCAGTGGAAAATGAAAACAGCTTACAAACCCAGAGAAGCCGACGATCTCCATCTGAATACAACTATGAAGTGTATCATTCCTTAGAAGACGTACGTAATCAAATGACCCTTCCACAGTTTGGGTCTTTTGTTTTCTTTTTTCTTGTTTTTGTTTCTGTTGTTATTGTTGTTACTATTGTTGTGTTTGTTTGTTTGTTTGTTTGTTTTCTCAAGTTTATCTTTGTCCTTTTGGTACAAGAATAAGAGAGAATTATGAAAACAGAGCCTTGGGCTCTGGGAAGAACATATACAATACTATATAATTTAGCCCCCTGGTTCATACATCGCTTCAGCGATCCTTTAAATGCTAAAAAAGAATTACCAAAATAATGGGCCAGAGAGGTATGGTCCAGTCAAAAAGAGCACTTGCTGCCCTTGCAGAAGGCCAGGACTGCTTGGGTCCCAGCAACTACATGGTGTCTCACAAATATCTGTAACTCCAGTTCTAGGGAGTCTGACGCTGTCTTCTGGCCTCCCCAAAAGAATAGGGAGTAATAACAGTTTATAACATGGAGCACACACACACACACACACACACAAATGTAGGCAAAGCACACATACACATAATATATAATTTTATAAAAGGCAGTAGCAAAATTATTTATATCTTACTTACTTTACCCAAGTAAACCCCACAAAGGACCTAAGAGATACATGAACAGTAACTGGTGTTAAAATCAGGGCTACAAAGACCTTAACCAAACAGCTATGGAAAGAACAGAACAGAGCAGGAGCTGGAGGGCAGTGTTTTGGCTGAGGGGCCCAGGAGTCCTCCACTCTGGTCTCGCACCTTTGCCAAATTCAGACCTCCCAACAGCCAGCTCCCATCAGTGGCCCCTGCTGGACCTCCGCACACACTGCCATGGAACCCACACGGAAGCTCACTGCAGCCTCGTCCTCCCACATCACTCCATCTTTACCTGACAGCTAACCATCCTTCACATCTTAGCTAAGACAAGCAAGACTCTATTCTGCAGGGCTGCATAGAAGCATCTGCTCACCAAATCCCAGTGTATCCCAGGTTCCCCTGGTACACAGATGTGACACTGTTCACAGGTCTCACACTGTCTGTGGTTGACTGATACTTTTTGTGCTAAGAGAAGCTGGAAGTTCCATGAGGGCCAAGTGTTTACTATGTTCACTACTATCTCCCCAAGGCAGGCAAAGAAAGTCCTCCAATAGGAAAGTTGTTGGCAGAATATATGAATACATATATTTTTCCATGTTTCTTGTACATTGAAACAAAGGAATTCCAAGCACAGAGTTAATAAGAATATACTATATTATTAAGAGTATTTTTTGTTCTGTTGAGGCTATGTCTCCTTTCAAAATTCATTTTGTATATTTTCGAGTCTTAACATACTTTTTAAGAAGCTTGGAATTAAATGCAATAAAAGGTTTCAGATAAATTGGCACATGAAAGCATAATTAAGCCCTAGAAAAAAGTCAAAAATAGATGTAGCGAGATATGCACATATACGCACACATACATACATACCTCCTGCTTGCTGGATTATATAAGAATAAAAAAAATGAGTACTCCCTAAGATACATTTATATTTTCTCTCAGCACATACCCTCTCATACCATGGAACAATGGGGTATTTCCGTGTGACTTCTTGGTTGCTTGCAGGGCTTTTAAGTCAGAAATGTCACCTATCTTTCTTAGTATGTTATTTATCCATCTCAAATACATCAGCTTCTGAAGACAGATAAGTGTGTGAATGGACTGATGCAAGTGTGCACTTCTCTAGGGGAATTATTCAGAATATGCCTTCCAGTGGCTCAGCAGAATAAACTCAGATTCGCATGATCTGCCTTCCTCTGCACCCTGGTAGCTTCTTCTCAGTTCCAAATTACAATATATGAGCCTTCAGTGGCTCTCAAGTCCTTTGGAGCATTGATCAGAAGCTGTTATGTGTTTTGTTGTTATAGTTATTGTTGTCGGGTTTTGTTTTGTTTTGTTTGGGGAAATGGAACTAAATTGGGATTTTTCAAAAAGAAGCCAGAGCACATCAGTCAGTTTTCTGCCAAACACCCCCCCACACAATGATCTTAGTGATGATAGTAAAAGGTAATTTTTTAAAGAGGTAACAACAAAAAGACCTAGAGTGCTGGCTGTCAGTAAAGAAAATAAGATGTCATTTTAAAAGCTGTGGGGTTTATCTTCCTGTTTTTACTTCCTGTATGTTCTTTGAACTCTGGAAGTCACTGTTGTCTTTTGTTGATTTATGTGCTCAAAGAGTTTTTATATTGTGGAGGACTCTGACATGACTTACTTATCTGCCTTCAGATTCAGAGTTGGATGCACCATCTGAACCAAACTCAACCGGGCCTCGTTCGGGTGTTCTCTATTGGAAGATCATATGAAGGAAGACCTCTCTTTATTATACAGGTAAAAGAATAAAATGTTACCAGAAAAAAAAGAATATATATATATATATATATATATATATATATATATATCCCCTTCCCTTTGATTGTGGGAAGAAATGAAATTATCTTTCACAGATTCTCATATCTAATGTCATCTTGCTAACTTAAGGGGAAATTACCTTGAATTATTGAGCCATGTTTAATTGTGGCCTTTGAATATTCCAGAAGATACTAATCCTGAGATGCTGAGTTTGTGATGCATACTGCTTATTGAGTTGGCTTAAGTTCTACTTAAGGTGAACCAATTGAAACTTGATATATGTGAAGGTGTTAGTCTTTGTTTCCCTCTATTAACCACACTTTCTGACCCTCCAGTTCTCCTCTTCTTCTCAGTTAAGTTTCTAACAGCATTTGCCTGCTTTGATGCCCCTTTCCTTGACTACCCTTTACACTTTGGCTCTTTCTACAGAACTCTTTCACAACTCCTCTTGGGGCTCTGTGCTGACCCCTAGGTTACTGTACTTTCCATTGGCTGGCGCTTCCTTCAGGCTCATTCGTGGGCTTCTCTTTCCTTGTCCCCACAAAGGTTCTGGCTATTCTCACTCTATTCTCAAGTCTGCTTTCACTCTACAGACTCCGTCCAAATGGTCTTGTCTGCCCCATGAAAATCATCCCAGATCTTTCTACCTAGTTTATAGAGATTTAGATTCATGCAGGACACAATTCATTCAACTAGATATTCACAAGAGCTCCTGAGATGTCATGGCACAACTATCCTTCCAGTTTAGAAACATAACTCCCTTCATTTCTCTTCCATGTTGTAATCCCTCATTTTCAATTCACCATCAAAAAACTGACAGTTCATAGAGACTCCTGTCACCCTCTTCTCTGTTTTCACTGATGTTGCCTGAGTTTGCCTCTTAACCTGTTTCCCCTGGATAATTTCAACAGTCACCTCAATGCTGAACTTCTACTTCAGTACCAATCCTTGACCCAGTCATCCTTGTAACCCATTCTCCACACTGCCACCAGTGTGAACTCATCTTCCACAGTGCTGTCAGTGTGAACTCATCATCTAGCCCATCCCCCATACTTCTGTCAGTGTGAACTCATCCCCCACAGTGCTGTCAATGTGAACTCATCCCCCACACTGCTGTCAGTGTGAACTCATCCTCAACATTACTGCCAGTGTGAACTCATCCTCTAGCACATTCCCTATACTTCTGTCAGTGTGATCTCATCCTCCATTGTGCTGTCAGTGTGAACTCATCCTCTAACTCATCCTCCACACTGCTGTCAGTGTGAACTTGTAAAGCAAGCATATACATGTGTGGAGAGAAGGGACGGATGGAAGAAGAGGAAGGAAGGAAGAAGAGAGGGGAAGGAAATTACAGAATATGAGGTATAGCTTTATCCTTTCTACAAAGGAATGTCCTCATATTCTTTACAGCTTTACTTGCTTTCCTGTAACTGATTTCCAAGCAAACTTCCAGTCTTGCTTAAATATTCAAGCATTCTTTTACTCCCTGAGAAAATTTGAGAAAACATGCCATGTCCCCATAGTAACTTATAGACGTTCAGGTCATAAAGCTGGTTGGATTGTTCTCACATCTGCCCTTCTCACTAGTACAGACATCTCCTGTCTGTTCATCTCTAAATCTCCAGAGCTGACCCTGATGTCTGACACCAAAAGGTACTTCCTGACACTTTAGTCAAGGGAATGAAATCAAGAGCCCTTACAAATATATTGCCAAGTGCTACCTACTAATGCCTGGGCCGGAAATCAGATTTAAAGTAATATTGACATAGCCAGGGGTATTTGTAATTGGCCCCTTGATTCCACAGATAAAGTTTTGTGTTTCTATTTTGTGATGCTTGACTGTAATTTGCCTTAAAAGTATATGCTTCAATAAATAGCCCCTAAACCATTCAGGTTCCTTAGGGTGGGCACAGAAAAGAAGGACAGAGAAGAAAGGACGGATTATAATACTAAAGCAGAATCACTGTAATACTTCAGGGATTGCCCTTTCTCCTTCTGTGCTTTTAGTTCTATGATTGTATTGAGGCAATACATTTATTGTTTCTGAATAAGCAAGTCTGGACTTCCAAAGAAGATAGGAAATCTCTTTATCTTTTTAATGTGCTACCTACTAAACAAAACCATAGTGAAGAATTGTGCCGAACCCTTATTAAATTATGCTGGTCAATAGATCCAAACATAAAAGCCTGGGTTGGTGACTATGAATCCTCTTGTTTTCAGCTGGGAAGAAAATCACGAGCCTACAAAAGAGCTGTTTGGATAGACTGCGGCATTCATGCGAGAGAATGGATCGGTCCTGCCTTTTGTCAGTGGTTTGTTAGAGAAGTAAGTTAAACTCTCTTTTAGAGTGTCAGCTCCAGCCAGTCAGGAAATCTCTGTGTTTTAATTCTCTTCAAGGAACAAAGTGAGGATTCTAACATAGCAATACCTGGTTGAATGACAACAATACCTTGATTCTATGGGCTGCTTTCATGCTTATGAAGCCCTCCAAGATCCTGGATGAAATTACATTCACCTCTGTTCTCCAAGATAGAATCATCTACCCCAGTTAAAAAGAAGCTGAGGTAGGAAGGTACTGGGGTGTGACTCAGTTAAGGGAGTGCACATAGCATACATCAGACCTTGAATCTAACCCCCAATGCCACATAACCTGGGTATGGTAATGCACATCTACAATCCTAACATGTGGGAGACTGAGGCAGGAGGAAGAGAAGTTCAAGGTCATCCTCCGCTATGTAGAGGCCAGTCAGTGCTACCTGATACTTTGTCTCAAAAAAAAAAAAAACAACAACAAAAACAAAACAAAACCACACAGACTAAAACAACAGGGTTCAGAGCTTTGTGAATTTGAGGCAAATTAGGAATGAGTCTTAGCACCAAATGAATAGTAAAAGTCTAAAAAACTTAATTTGCGGTGGTCTAGAACAACTGTCTTATTATATTCAGGTCAGAAAGTTCTTAATCACTTCTTTCAGAATGAATTCACTATGCTGTAATGGCAAACAAGTGAAGAAATGACCAATTGTTCCCTCATGCTGTAAACCAGTAGTTTGGAGACCAAGAGATTCCAGCATCTGTGACTGAACATTCTCTATGTCAAACTTTTTTGTTAAGGAGACTTTGACAGCTAGTGTCTCATAAGAATTTCTCATTTCCAAATGCTTTGTTTTGAATCCTGATCCCACTGAGCTCCCTTCCTGGGTGAGCCTGCATTCCAATGATTAGTGACTTTTATTGTTTGGGGCTTTCTTAAATCCTGATTTATAGAGGTTTTTATTTTTGTGGGGGGGGGGAAATCTTAAGAGAAACCCATCACTAATGGTGACAAAAGAGAAGGAGCCTGAAGAAATGAAGGTTTGCTAGTTGTACTCACAGGAAGCAACTGAGGAAACAAAGGTCACTCAAATGTGCTTCTATCATATTTCACTGTCTTATGTGGACATTCCATGACTTTGAGGGTTCTCATAGGCATTACAGAATATGTTCCAGTGGTGGTTTGAATATGCTTGGCCTGGAGAGTGGCTCTCTTAAGAGGTGTTGCAGTGGGTGTGGCCTTGTTGGAGTAAATGTGTCACTGTGGGGGTGGAATTTGAGGCACACCTCCTAGCTGCCTGGAAGATAATCTTCTCCTGTTTGCCTTTGGAACAAGATGTTGAACTCTCAGCTCCTCCAGCATCATGCCTGCCTGGACACTGCCGTGCTTCCCACCATAATGGTAACAGACTGAACTTCTGACCCCATAAAGCAGCCCCAATTAAATGTTGTCTTTTGTAAGAGTTGCCTTGGCCATGGTGTCTCTTCACAGCAATGAAACCCGAAGAGCATTTCATATTTCACAAGTGTCAAAATGCAATAAATTTCCAGTGCGTTCCTCTCTACCGTAACCAAATTTCAGAAGAATCCGTAATTTCACAAAATAAGCACTACTAACTTTTCCTCTTCAAATTATTGAATAAACCACATTCCTTTAAACACCATTCAAACCCACTGAAAACAAATGCAAGAGTGAACAAGAAATTGTTAACTCTATTAACATATCAAATACTCTGTGTTTTACTTTAACAACAGAATATTTGATGTTTCAAATTTAAGGATAGAAAGGAAAAAGAAAAGATGGCTAAGTATGGGACATCTCTTGTTCACAGGATATGGTCCTGTGTATTATGGAAGGAAGTGTGTGTGTCCCAAACATTTCAACTACAGCTGTATCTCAACCCTAAAAACTGCGACCTACCCTCAGCACCATCCACATCCTTCCCTCCCTCTGTGGCTACCATCAGGAGTATTTCTGAGGTCAGACACTCTGACCTGTCTCTTGCCACATGCTCAGCATGCCAGATAGCACATACCACTTAAGAGGTAACAAGTTGTTAATAAGTGTTCAAGATCTGGAAAGATTCAGGCATGACTTATCCAGTTACCTCAAAAAATATGAAGATAACACTTAGATTTCATGCAGAAGAAACCTGTATAAATCCTGAAACCTGGGTTTAATCACTACAGAAAAAGATACAGTGTGGCCACTGTCACTTGAGGACAGTTGTTTTGGAGCAAAAACAAAAAATATCAGTCAGGCTGGTATAACTCAAGATAAGGACTTACCTGGCATGCGTATGGCCCTGGGTTCAATCCATAGCACCATTAAGCCAAACAAGAAAAGAAAAAATAAAGAGCAATAAGCACCAATTAAGATGAGGATCCAGCTCCACAACGATGATTAGGAAAATGCTTCTCCCTCCTTCCTCCAGCACAAGGCCAGCTTCACGTAGACCACCTCTGTGTCTCTGCAGCCTGCCCCCTCCTTCACTCTCTCTGGTTTCTGCTGCCACCTGCCCCTTGACCCAGCACTTTACTTTCCTCCATTTGAAATAGTCAGAAGCAGACAAGAGGAGCTCTCTTTGCAGGAGAAATGGGGCATGACAGCCATAAAATGGCAGTGACTAGAGCAAGTCAATACTGATGTGACATTCTTATTTTAAGCAAAGTATTGCTGTCTGTCTTTGAAGCTCCCATTCCCATTGATACGGGTTTGGGGGCAGGAGACATGGGGCTGTCAAAAACTTAAATAGCTAAAGCTACCAAGCATTACTACATCATCTCTTTTTCATTAATTCCTGTCCTTTTGTTAAATCCATGGTGACAGGCATGGTGATGCATGCCTGCAATCCCAGCACTCAGAAGGCAGAGGTAGATGGTCGGGGAGTTCAAGGCTAGACTGGGCTACAGGAAATCCTGTCAAAACAAAACAGTAAAACCTCAGTGTTTGAAGAGTGAGTCACCTAACAAGGATCCAGGCAGTGGCAACCACAGATCCACTTTTGCCAATATCAGGACTGGATCTCAAGCTCTCAATTTATATAATTTCCATGTCCCCTCAAGAAACATCTGTAAACCTCTGCCCACCAGGAGACTCCAAGATACTATACCTAGTTCTCTCTGTGCTTATACAAGTATAGTCCCTGCTGCACTTGTCTTGTTGGCTCAGGAGAATCTTGTAAATTATTTCTTCCCAGAGAGACATTCAGGATGCTGGATAAGTCCCCTTTTCTCATATTTTACCAAAATCTATCAGTTGTTCAAAAGTCTGGCTTTGTGCTATTGTTCTTTCCCTTTCTTGGGTACATTTTCCTAAAACTCAATAGCATAAAAGAATAGTCATTGATTTCTCCATTTCTCTGGGTCAGCAGTCCAAGTCTATTTCTGAGTTCAGTTGGATGTCTCTGGCTTAGGACCTCTCACAGAGCTGCACTTGGAGATGCAGCCATGAAGATGTTTAGATTAAGAGAGAGGACTGTGCTTCTAAGTTCATTCATAGCTATTGAGGATTACAACCCTCTTTGGTTGTCAACTCTAAGTATCATTTCCTTGCCACATGGGTCTCTCTCCCTAAGTAGCTTGGAAAATAGACCTGGCTTCTCTCAGAGCAAGTGGGAGAGAGGGGAAGAAAAAGGAGGCCCAAAATAGAAATGAGTCACTTTGAAGTTGAATCTCAAAAGGGACATGTTGCCAAATCCTGTCCACTAGACGAAGACATAAGGTCAAAGCCGTACCAAGAGAAAGAGATTAGACACAAGGTCTGAATCCAAAGGAAAAAAGATACCAGTGAGGCTCACGTTTGAGACTGTCTCTCACATCTTAGTGAGATTTACCTGACAGCCACAAATGTAATCTTTGAATCTTTACTCAAATGTGGACTACAAGAAAAGTTAAATCAGCCCTCTGCTCTGATAAAGCAGATTACAATGAATGTTAAGTACAACCTAACCTGAGTTATGCAACCCTAGCAGTAAGTCATTTAGCATCTCTGAAGCTTACCAACATGTAGATAATAGTGTTGTCTAACATACAGAGCTGCTAGGAGGGTTTAATAATGCAATACAAATAAAAAACCTAGAATTTTTGACAACTGAAAAACATTTTGAGAAGTCAGCTCGTTATTACTATCAATATCATCTATTTATTATTTTACATAACCCACATAAAAGAACAATCAGAAATAAAATCAGCAAGAATAAAGAGGAGCTCGACATTACAAAATCACCCAACAACATCAGAATACACATTCTTACAAGTCCCTAGGTATGTACTAAAACTGCCTAGGTCAAAAAAAAAATCACAATTGACAACAAATGTAAAGTGATGATATCGTCAGAATGTGTCATTTAACCATAATGAAACCCATCTAGAAACAGATCAGAGACAATAGGAGGATTTCTAAAAGTTGGAAAATTATGTGCAGTTCAAAATAGTCCATAGATTAAAGAAGGAATTTCAAGAGAAAATTTTAAAGATTACATTGAGCTGTGTTCAAATAAAAGTAGAACATCTCAAAATTGTGAGGCATGGCTAAGTCAATACTAAAAGGAAAACTTAAAGCACTGAATTCATGAGTATTAAAGAAGAAAAGTCTCCAAACAACAGGCTATTCCCTCAAGGACCTACATATAGTGAGCAAAATGGGGATAAAAAATAAGCATCAAGGCAAGCTGCAGAAAGGTAACAAAAATCAAAGTGTAACTGAATACAGAAAATTACTAGAGAAAATCAATAAAACAAGGAAAAATGACAAAATCCTAGTATGGTACTTAATTTCAATTGTCAACTTGACAAAATCTGGAATTACCTGGGGGTGGGAATCTGGGCATGCCTGTGGAAGAGCATCTTGACTGGGTTACTCGAGTATGACACCCTTCCTGAAGCTAGAATCATACGGCAGATACTGAGAAAGTGACCTGAGGACTAGCATTCACCTCCCTCTGCTTCCTGACTGTGGATGCTCTGTGACCAGCTGCCTCGAGCTCCTGATGCCAGGCCCTCCTCCACTATTACTCCCTGGAACTGTGACTCCCAAATAAATTCTTTATTCTTTAAGTTGTTTTTGTCAGAGTATTTTATCATAGCAACAAAGAAGTAGCTAAGATATCTAGCAAGACAGAGAAAGAAATCAAGATAAATTACCAAGATTAGGAATGAAACAGACCATCCTATAGACACAACAGATATCTAAAGGAGAATGAAAATCTCTAAATAATGCCATACATTTTGACAATGTAGAAAATGGACAATTTAATTGTAAAACACAAACTGCTACAGCACACCCATTATAAAAGAGATTATTTTGACTCTAGTAGTCTCTTAGTTTACCTCGGGATTTCAGTGGCCCCAGGAGTTGGTGTAGGACCAGGGTTCTGACTCCATTTCAGCTCTGGATCTGGGTTTATGTTCCAGTGGCCCCATAGTCCACTATGAGCTATGGTTCTGACTCTAGAGGCCCTGGAGTCCACTGCAGGACTGGAGTTTTTACTCCATCTGCTGGCCATGGTGGTCACTGTGTGACCTGAAGACCAGAACACCTTAGCAAACTCAGTCAGAAACCAAGACCAAGCTTTTCTCATCTCCACAGCTGAGCTTCATGCAGTCAGTCCTCTAAGCAGACACAGAAAAACGAAACAACCAAGTAGAGTTGGAAGAAGGGGACACTGAAACTAGATAAGTATATAAAGCATGACAAAGAAACACAATGCATATGGCACATGGCCCAGTCCCAATGTCCATAGGGTGGAATCCAAAACCACAGAGATTGCTGAAATGTCTAATAATTCAGAACCTTACTCTTTAAAGATTTAATAACCATATAAATGATTCAAACAGATATAAGAACTAAGGACACCTGTCCAAGTCTCAACAAGACAGTCACTGCATAAATGAAACAGTTAGTGAGTTTGAGGAGAAAAGTTCAAAATTGAAGGAAAATGAAATTGTAACAACAAAAATAGAATCAAAGAGAAAAGATGAAAATGAAAAAAAAGTGGTCCACCAAATAAAAAGTCACATCAGAAAACATCATCAATAGGCAATCGTGCAAACGTATAAATTTCATAGATAAAGGACAAATTAGAGACAATAATATATAGACTTCCAAAAAGTCTAGGATATGTTAAAGATGCCAGACCTGATCCATAATATAGAGAGAGGAAGGAACTAAGATAAAATCAAAAGAAATACACAATCTATTCAGTGAAATTGTGACAGAAAAATTCTCAAACCCAGAGATAGAAGTAAGCGTGCAAACATAAGAAGCATTTAAGCTTCAAGTAGACTTTACCAGGAAGCTTCTATATGACATATAATAGTCAAGATGTCAAGGATGCAATACTAAAAGTGGAACAGAAAAACATCGACTCATACAAAGACATAAGTATCAGAATTGCCACAAGCCTTTCATAGAAACTCTAAAAGACAGAAAAGCATGGAACAACATATCCCAGGCTCTG